ACTGGTATACATGTAAGCAACATATATATGACTCAAAAATTAGACCTTCCTCTAAGACATTTCGAAAAAATCTCTACTTTCTCGAGATATACTTACGTATTTATGATTCAGATCAGTGGATAAAATTATGATTTTATAATATGAGAACGTTCAATCCTCTGTTAATGGCCCTTCTTTTTCAGTTATACGTCTAATTATTTCACATAAACATCTAATAAATACTAATAAATGGAGAGCCGCAGTAGAAAGTGAATGTGAGATATAATAACACCAAATAACACTCAACTTATATAGAATTCCAACATTTAACATCAGTCTTGAGACGATTGAGACTGAGATATTTCGAGCTCGAGATCTCAATAGCAATCAATCTTCTCTCCAACAGAACGGTATACTTTTCATTGAACTAGGTCACCTCAAAAATGTATTAAATTTCAAAAAATTGAATGCAAGGTGATTTATTGGTTGAACACAGTGAACCCGTTTACACAAGATTGTATTGAATTTTTATATATTCTATAGGGTGTCCCAAGTTATCGTATACAGGCAATATCTCGCTTATTTGACAAGATGGTTGAAAAATTCAAAAACTTCATTGAATGGCATTGAAGTACCTTCCTAATGGCATATAAAAAAAATCCATTATATTTGACAGTTCTCTGGCAGCTACCCCCACATCTTATTTTCAAATGGCATCCCCTGTATATTTTCATTGGAAATTACGTGTTACTCAATTTGGAATTATCCTTATTGAAATCAAATATTGCCTCCGCTCATGTTCTTTGTTTCATGAAGCCGATGCTTCTATCATGTCATAATAATTTTGAACACTTGCTGTGATTTTTAGTTCATTTTTTGATTCGCATAAAAACTATTCTAGTTGAAATTCATACTTCATTAAATGTTGCTGTTTTTGTTACAAATAAAAAAATACCAAGTATATGATATCGTTGTATTCCTTATAGGATGGCAAGCAATTTTCAATGACAATATTCAGGGTGATAGCTGCCAGAGAACTGTCAAATGTAAAAGATTTGTTCTTTATGTCATGAGGAAGGTATTTCACTGTCATTCAATGCAGTTTTTTGAATTTTTCAATTATCTTGTCAAATAAGCGAGAAATTGCCTGGATACGATAATTAGGGACACCCGGTATTATAGGTATATTAAGTAGCATCCTGATCACTTATGGAACAAACAAATATCGTGAATCAGGAAAGAATTATTTGAAAATTCTTGAAGCTGTTTCTGCCGAATGGCATGATGAATTAAACAAGCGATCTTGATCTGGATGGATCAAGGATCGCAGTTCAAATATGAAATTCCATCGATCATATCCAGCCATACTGACAAAAAACTCCCCAAATCATATAGCGCCGCTATCAACTATCCTAATAAGGAAAAAAACGAATAAAATCACGCATCAGATACTATATGAGTAGTCTCTGATCATTATTTTTCAATATTTCAAAATAAATGTCAGCGACTGTTTTGGAATGACACTCCATATATTTTTCTTCAGATCGAGATTTTTTCCGAATACGCAGTGATATTATGACAAGTTGACATGACAAAAAAAAGTAGTCGCAGTAAGCGTCCCGAAAGGACTATCAGTTTTTCATTTGTCAGATATTTCAACACCGGATATATGATTTTGAAGTACGTTGTGAAAAATAAATTGAAACAGACCGTCATCGTTATATTGAACACACCGTTCACACATACTGATGTCAGATAAGTACCTATGCCCTCCTACTGTCATTATAACTCTTATTATGCGATTCATCACAATAATATCTGTCATTAAATGTTGAAAATCGAGTTATCAATGTATGAATGACTCCATAGTTGTAGATATAAAGAATATTTGTCCTTCAATCTGCCTAATGAAGTCATCATCCCTGTCTATTCGGAATCGAAGGAAAATGCAAATTTTCCTCTACCTTTCTTTTATGCGGACGCCCATGTTCCATACCTAATTTGAGTGTATGTACATGCCCACACTTCATCTGAAATCTACTCTAGCTGGGTGTGTAAGCAAAGTCAGTGTCCGACCATCGTTTTCAAATATCAGTCTGGGTGTGAAGGTTGTGTGTGTTGAAATTATCGATGAGTTATTATTATGGTTTATTGCCACCAGTGTACTCGTGGCTGATCTGACATACAAATTATTCAATGGAGCTGTTTCGAATCAACACCATCAGCGTGATGCTTACGTCAATCAAAACGATCAATTTGTCAGCTCCATAATATCGGTAGAGGCATACGATAAATGAGAAGTATATAGTAATAATATGATATGAGAATACGTTACTAAACTGGAATTGAATAAATTTTTCATACCATTCGTTTCAGTTGCAAATTATGAGTCAATGCGTTGTTCAGAGTTATTGGCTAAACTTGGCCAACATGTTGCCCAGTCGCAAATTATATTCGAGTTCTTTGGAAATTTTCGTACGCAAGAAGGTGTTCACTAGTTGAGAATTGAACAGAATGCACATTCTCATCCCATGAAAGAATGGCATGTCAATGTATCATCGCATTTGAGGGGTACCCAATTTCGGAGAGTTTAAACCATGTGCTATGTAAACAAACATTCGCTGAATATCCGCTGGTAACTCGGCAACTGCGCTCTGCGCACAAACTCGACGTTTTGAGATGATCTTAGTATTCTTAGTTGGCAGCATTTGTGCTCGTCAACGGAAATATTGAAAAAACGCTCGCATTGCTGCCACGAGCTCATATTACTTCATGATAAAATACTCAATGAGGTATCAAACAAACCCTCTGATGCAGCAGAAAGCTAAAAAATTGTGAATTTGAGGATAGAATATGAATTATAATAGTCATACAGGCTGATCCACGGTGGATGGCCTATTAGAAGTATCTGGAGAACGAGAAGACAGAACATTCTGAAAATTGGGATGCTTTGATAATTGAACATTCTCTATCCGTCTAACATATTTTCATCGATACAGTGTTGCCACTTCTATCAGAAACAACTAGCAACTTCGTTATTTTAAATAGAGCACCCTGTATTTTTCATCTATGTATCACACTTTGGGTCTAGCAGGAATGATTACAGAGATATAGGGTGTTCAAAATCGAGATTTTTCAATTTCAGGATTTTTTTGTGTCGAAACTATTCATTATTGATCGAAAAGGCTTACATGTCCCTATCTCAACTTTCGATTCACTATCTACTGACATTTAATTGGAACATATACAGGGTGATTAGAATTCTGAATCTTGAAGCACCCTGTATTTTTTCCAATCATATTCCAGTAGATAGTCATTCAAAAGTTAAGATAGGGACATGTAAGCCGTTTCGATCGATAATGAATAGTTTCGACACAACAAATCTTAAAATTGAAAAAATCTCGATTTTGAACACCCTATATCTCTGTAATCATTCCTGCTAGACCCCAAGTGTGATGCATAGATGAAATCAGCTCTTTAGGAAGAATCTACAAATGCAATGAAATACAGGGTGTTCCATTTGAAATAACAAAGTTGCTAGTTATTTCTGATAGAAGTGGCAACACTGTATCGATGAAAATATTTTAGATGAGTAGAAAATGTTCAATTATCGAAGAATGGCAATTTTCAGAATGTTCTGTCTTTTCGTTCTCCAGATACTTCTAATAGGCCATCCACCGTGGATCACCCTGTATATAAATTGTGACACTCCAAGAAGGTGGATGAGTATTTGAAAAACGAATACTTTGATGACCTCGAAACTATTTGTTGGTCTATATATTCGATGAAATGAATATGCTTGAATGTCAATAATAATATCGAAATCAATAAGGACTTTTCCTGAACTTATCCCTTTTTCTGACAAACAGATTCTCAATATTTTGTGTGACTTATATGAATATAAACACTCTTCCTCTTCAAATATGGCCTTCCATATTATATGTGTGGAATTCTGATAAACGAATGTTTTGTCAATTTCGATTACCTACATTTTGTTGGCTTTCTTGTTATCTTGGTAACATCGATTTCGTGCTTGCTCATCCAAGATTGAAAATGGCATAGCCTTTGTTTTTGCACTACAATTTCGTTCGAGTGTTTTAAAATCTTGAAAATATATGATTATAAACATATAAGTTCACTTGTGTAACTCGTGTAACTACTTAAAAACCTTTTCTTGAAGTTTCAATTCATATTGAATAATTATGGGACTACAATTTTTTCATATCAGATCATATATAGGTACGCCAGCAATCGATTTGAGATGTTTGATGAGAAGTTGCTATTTCCCTTGAATGAACCAGTTTTTCTGGAACTTTTCCAAAAATTTCATGATTGATTCCACAACCACGACCCAATTCACAAAACACAATCAATTTGAATAATAATATTTTTAAAATGTCAGAGCATGACAGACTCATTCGCAAAGTTAGATAAACCTAAACTCTTATACTTCTTCATGAAATAATGGCGATTATGGCACTAACGACACCAAGCAACAACAAACTATTGTTAAAAATAGTGTTGTCAGTTCAAAGTTCACCATATTTCAACAATATTGCTATCAGTTGAACTTACAACTAATCTTGCAGTCATTGTCCAAACAGAACTCGATATTGATCAATATGATCATAACAATAATGATAATTTTTCCACCACTAGCTATGAAACCTACCTACCATTGTTTACTCCTTTCAATAAAGACAAAGCCACCTCTGATATAATAATGGCGTCTACTCCTTGGTCACAATATCCAATGTGGCATAGTGCCACATTATAAAATAAATACCAATAAGCTGCATAACTCGGATTCTTTGAATTAGTGCAGTTGAAGAAAAAGTATAGTGTGCAACATGTGGGGAAAAGCACTTTTCTCACTCATGTTTTTGCATCACTCGCCCTTTCAAAACGGAAAACCGTGCGGAAAATTCACTTTTCCGCACACTCGTAGTTAAAATAAAGAACAATCAGTGAAGTTTTTTACCACTCACCTGAGCATACTCCGCACATATATCGATCCCGACCACGAAGTTCCCCACATCCTCCACCGTCCAATTGGACACATCCTCGTGCAGCTTCGGGCTCTCGCTGGCCGCCCGCTTGGGCCCCACTGTGGGGGGCAGGCCACCCGTGGGGCTGCCCACAGAGGGCGTCTTGGTGCGGGGCCTCTTCGAGGGCGGCGCGCCTGCTGAGAGGTCCAGGGGCGAGGAGGTTTCCGGGCGTTTCACGTTCTTGAGCAGACCCTGGAAGATGAAACAACGTCTTCTGAACTGGTCAACATTGATAATGTCGTGGTTCAAAATATGGCCTGAATTCAAAGTTTTTTTTTCTTTGATGTTCTGGTTCCCACGAAAAGGAATATTTTGTAATGTTCAGAGAACATCGTGAGAACCAAGGGAAATAAGGTAGAAATTAATGTTCTTCTTAAATTTCTGGAGGTTATATCCCTCGGAGAACACCTCCCTTGGTAATGTGTTCCAGAGCCTTGCTGTTCGTTGGATGAACGAGTCTTTGGAAAGAGATGATCTGCAGGTCTCCAAAGTGACCACGAAGGGGTGCGAAGCCTCAACTCGACGGGTTGATCTCGCGGGGACTGCCAAGGGAGGAACAATTGTTGATATTTCAGAAGAGCATCGTCCATGAAAATATCTATAAAATAGACCCAAATCGCCTTCTACGGTGTTCCAGAGAAGTGAGTGGATTTGTGAGCAAGGCATCACCCACGAGACGAATTGCTTGTGTTCTGATTGCATTGAAATCTACCAAGTTATTGGATCCCCATTCGAGAATTGTTGCCAAGTCCATATTTATGTTGTCAACATTTCTCCCTCGTTCGTTTCTGATGTGCCTGGCTGGTATTGGAGCCCTGGGAGAGAGGGCCGTATGGAGGGTACTGTGTCAATATGGAACTTCTGTAATTGCATATATCATTGTTTGAGGGTGCTAATTACCGTTTGAACAGATATTTTTTTATTTTTTCTTCCTCCTGTATCCTCTTGATTGATGCTTTCTCTCGAAACGTTTTAGAAATTTCCGGATTTAGATAGCTTTGATAATCGTGTAATGAATATTCATTCAAAATGATGCATTTTTTCGACGAATAATTGAATGAAATCGGAAGTTGGATTTCTTTTTCGAAGAATCAACGTTGTATGTATAGTCGTCGGATATGTGATTGTGTTCGAACCCAGAACAAGAAATACTGAATGATGAAATGGAGAAGAACGTAGTTTTCCGTAGATGAAACATAATTTTCTTTGTGTTACCAGTGAAATGATGGAGTGTTTCTTCGTCATGAGGATGTCTGGTGTCTGATCTTCATTTTGTTATCAGGAGTCGATATGAAAATGGCAAGTCCATTGCAATTTTGCGGAATATATTTTGCACAACTCCGCATCAATTCTCGAGTGCATTTTTGTTGTCAGCACTTTCACAGTTTCAAATTGGTCAAACATATCTTTCTTTCAATGTCTTTCGAGTAAAATCATGTTTTTTTCCGATTTCGGAACTACACATTAGGCCGATGATGAGAATGATATATATATTATAATATGTGATATTATACTGTCTGTAGGTTAATCGAGGAGGTGGTATATACATTCATCATTCCAGATTTTTTGGGATTTTCTCTCCTCGTTTCCATAAAATGATAATATGAATATTATTTCAATATACGTGTAGCAAGGACAAATCCGAGGACAAATCAGATGATTTGCCCCAAAATGTCACTGCGTTTAAAGAATTTGCCTATCAGAGAGCCTTAAAGTAAATTTCACTAGCTTGTCAAAGACAATTTGTATTGAAAAAAGTTTGGAGAAAAGAAATAAAGGTATATAGAGAAAATATCAATTTTTTACTCATCTTTGGACGTTTCGGGCACGAGTATATAGAACATGGTATTCACTACTGAAATCTGAAAATGAAAATGGTAAATTCAAGATCATTTAATGAAAACATCCTCATTTGATTGCCAACGTCACCAATTGTCACTGAGAACTGAAAAGTGTCAGGACAAATACGAATTTGCCATACAAAAAATCCATTTTTTATGTTGAAAACAGGAGCAGATTCGTTGCCGAAACGTCCAAAGCTAAGTAAAAATCTGATGTTTTTTCTATATACCTTTATTTCTCTTCTCAAAACTTTTTTCAATACAAATTGTCACTGACAAGCTAGTGAATTACTAGTTGTTCCATGATCTGGTTGACTTGACATTTGACAGCAAACAATTTTACTGTTCAGTGCTTCCGCACATGTGATTCTTTTCTTGGTTATTTCCGAAGCCACATCTTTCTTATTACAAAAGATTGATATTTGCAAGTTTAATTACTACTTATCGGTGATTTAAGGGTACCGTGGGCCCTTATTAAATATGTTCCCGACCCCCAACTTTCAACTTTATTAAAATTTTTTAAATAACATTTTTATCATATAAACAGTAAGTTTCACTCATATTGATATTTTTTCAAAAAATTTTCACTGTTCCTTCTCCAGATCATGGAGCAATGGCTTTTGCTTGCTCCGTTATTGCTTATTGTATACATATTGCAACAATTTTCACTTCCATGTAAGTAAAATATTACTGTATCATACCATAGGCCAATGTGTCCTTTTTTAGAACTTTACATTTTCTTGGCTGATGATGGGCTTATATAAGCCCGAAACATGTTATGTTCCTTATATGATCTATGATCATTAAATAAAAGTTGTGGAGATGACTTTGGGTTTTCATCTATGAACTACACCACTCCACTTTGAGTTACCATGGACTTCTTCCAAAGATTATCTTATAGGCTCTCTGATAGAAAAATTCTTTGAACGCAGTGGCATTTTGGGGCAAATTATCTGATTTGTATATTGAAATAATATTCATATTTTCATTTCATAGAAACGAGGAGAGAAAATACCAGAAACTCTGGAATAATGGCTGTATTTATAATTGAATCGACTTGGAAAAATTCAAGGGTAGCAATATAGGTCATACCTATAACCTCTCATCAAATGGTTTTTTCACGAGTCATACCTATAACCCCTTATAAAATGGGATTTTTTCGATGAACCGTTTTCGAAAAAAAAATTACAAACTGGGTGCCGAAGTAGCCCCGTGACTGGGGTTTCATTGGCACTCAAACAGAAAATTGAACAAAAACAATGTCAACGTGTACTATGGCAAAATTTAACGGTTTTTTCTAGTTTTCAAATAAACTCTTATTCCGTATATCTGTCATAGAGCCTTAAGCCAGCCAAACCGTACGTGTAATGTCGCACCATATTTTGCGTAGCGGAGTGTACTGACCTGTCTCAACAACTCTCGGCTACTGAATATTGAAACTATCGGTCTCTGTAACTGTTCAGTTGCCTTGAATTCGCGATTATTGTATAGTCTTTTTCAAGATCAGAGGAAATGACCTGACCTGAGGTGGGATAATGACATGCGATAAAGTAAATTTTTGTTAAGTTCAATACTCCGTAGATCTACGGACACTCGAACCTGGCAACACCGCACCCACCTGTATCTCGGCCTCCTTGGCCGTCCGCACCATGGCGAGCAGCGTCTGCGTGGTAGACATGTCGATGAGTGGCGGGAACATGCCGGCGCCGGCTCCGGCAACGCCAGCGAACGGGTTCAGCACCGGGAAGTCTGGCGGCTTCTTGGTGAGGTCGCCGGCGTCCTTGGGCTGCGCGGGCTGCGGCAGCGGGACGAGGCTGGGGAAAGCGGCCGGCTTGAAGCGGGGGTCGAGAGGCGGGGGGAAGCCGTTTCTGGCTGCGCTGAAGTAGCTGCAAGGAATAAGAAAATTGAATTGTTTTGATAAGGAATATTCTCAGATATACAGGGTGTTTCAAAAAAACCTGACCCCCTTGCTAGGGTAGGTAGATCACTGCAAAATAAGTTGGGTTTGCTCATGCAGTGAAAAAATGTCTTAGCGGCATCCGTTTCCATGATACAAGGTGTTGAAAAAATTACTTTTTTACACATTTTTCACGATTATGTCGAAACTACTGGAAACATTGTGATGAAATTTTGTACGGATGTTTCTTGGAATCTGACACATCGCATGCATTTGTTTTTATATCTGACTCTCATAGAGGGCGCTAGTTACACGGTTCGTACCGAGTAGTTTAGAACATAACTTTTTTGAGGTTAGATTTTCCAATCCAAATATGATATGAACTTAAACCTCATTCAATTTTACACCAAAAAGAAACTCTTGGTGAAACTCGATACTATGTTTCGTTTTCGGAATATTTTGATTTGAAAATATTGGAGTAGTATTGATGCTGGTATAAAATGAATTTTATTGAGTTCAATTACCCATTTATTCAGATTCAAAAACAATAGGATCATTCTTGTGCTGAAGTTATTGATGGGACAAAGAATCATAAAATTAAGAGATATTTGACAAGAAACATGAAATATTGAATCAGTTAGAGTAAGTGTTCAAAATGTCCTACGTTTCGACGAATACACGATTCTATATTCTTATCTTAAAAATGTATTATTCTTCTAAACAGTTGAGGATCAGGTGTTAGGTCATTTAAGTGATGTTCAATTATGTCTCGTGAATTTACCTATGTAGCTTAGACTTTCTGCTCAAGATACAACAAAACTGTGTAATCCATGTTCTTAGTAAAATCTGTTTCGATGTTATTCTTGTGATTCATTGTTAAATCAATGAGTTCAGCATCAGAAATGTATTGCTGTTTTCGGTTTTCAATAAATAGGTGATAATTTTTCATAATACTCGCTCTATTACATAGCTTTATACCAGCAACAGTTATCACTTCGAAATATTTCGAAAACGGAACACAGTATCGAGTTTTACCAAGAGTACCTTTTAGGTGTGAAATTGAATGATGTTCAAGTTCACATCAAATTTGGATTGAAAAATCTAACATCAACAAAAGTTATGTTCATAACTACTCGGTACGAACCGTGTAACTAGCGCCCTCTATGAGAGTCAGATATAGAAACAAAGGCATGCGATGTGTCAGATTCCAAGAAACTTCCATACAAAATTTCATCACAATGTTGCCAGTAGTTTCGACATAATCTTGAAAAATGTGTAAAAAAATCATTTTTTCAACACCTTGTATCTTGATAACGGATCCGTAACGAATTTTTTTTACTGAGTGAACCCAACTTATTTTGCAGTGTTCTACCTAACCTAGTAAGGGGGTCAGGTTTTTTTGAAACACCCTGTATTATGAACATGAAAAAATGGATACATATACAGGGTGTCTGTAAAAGGTTGGGACATCGCTCGGCTGTGGACTCCTGGGATAAAAACAAGTTGATTTAGACCAACTCACCTATATCCAAAATCGTCTCGTTGAGTTGGTACGAGGCGTTGAGGTTTTTTTGGAAAAAAATTATTTTGATCATAAAAAGAGTAGGCTGAGATCGATTTTTAAAATTTTTGGCATAGCATGTTCTGTGACTGTAAGTCACGTTTTGAGATGTTTTTGATCATCATCAGTGACTTGCAAGTGTTTCAAATAACCATGTTGCCGTACAAATTTGGTGATAACTTTTCAGAGGTCGGACTGTAAACTTCCAGTTTTTTTTCCCAGAAAGATATTCCCTTCATAAATATTTTTCACTAACAAGGTCGGCTCTCCGTCTTTAAAATGTTTAAATAACTCAAGTTGCCACTTACCCGTAATTAGAACGTCATTTCCATTCCCAGAATACTTACTACTTTGAAGTTGGTTAGGTGAACGTTGTAACAACGTCGTAGTTCAACTAAAGTCATGCTAAACATTGAGACGACGTTGTTCGGTGGTTTAGAGAGCGTCGTTCAATGAATCACTGAGTTCAACACGAAGTACAACGTCAGTTTTGTTGTATTATGTGGTTGTCGTCGCCAAATTGCAACTTGAGATGTTCATTCGTTTTCAGAAAACATTATGCATATGAATGGTATTAGCTCACTGAAAACCAGTGTACATTGATTCAACGTTTGTACCACGTTGAAATGGTGAAAAATACGATACCCTTTGATTTTTTAACCTTACCTAAAACTATTTCATTCATGATAATGAAATAAAATACTTCATAAAAGAATGGTGTCAATCGTTGGAACTTAGAATGGACCCTACCAAAAACTACCCCAGTGGCCTTCACGACGAAAAGGAAAACTAATCTCGAAACCATTAGAAATGGGTATCGGATAGCTATAAAATGGAAACAAGAGGTAAAATACTTGCGACTCAATCTGGATCAAAAACTTCTCTGCATGGAATAAACACGGGAAGGAACTAATCAACAAGGGCACAAAAGCTTTGATGATATGCCAAAATATCGTCGGAAAAAGCTGGGGATGTTCCCTTAGGACCCCTTGACCCCTAGATGGATGGACAAAGCAATAGTGAGAATTATCATCACATATTATGAAGCGGTGGTTTGGGGAGACTAGTCGAGCCTCCACAAAGGCTAATATTACGTAAAAACTCAGAGACTAGCATGTATATGCGTTACCAGTACAATGAGAATGTGCCCCACTGCCGCAATGGAGGTGATTCTAGCCCCCACTCCACAACATTCATTTGTAGAGAGTGCGAGTGCGGCAAAAGGGAATGACATACAGAATGATTCAGAAGGAGTTCATGCATTGTATGCATTTTCAGTGCAATGAGAATTTGCCCCATTGCCGCAATTGAAGTGATTCAAGTCCAACAACATTTAGTTGTGGAGAGTGCGGCAAAGAGAACGATATACAAAATGATTGATAAGGGATGACCAAGGTGGGCCAATATGCCCACTTAACCAGCCAATCCAGAATTTGCCTCAGCATGAAATAAATTAAGAGTACAGCTTTGTGAAACATTGGAAAAGTGAATCAATCATGGCTTGGAGCTCAAAGAAGGAACCATAAAGTGGTACACAGATCCAGATAACGCCTCGTTCCAAGTACTTCAAAAGCCTTGAAAAATTCTCAAGCATATTCCAGGGGCAAGTTCACGATGTATGGAAATGTGTACAGTTCAATCTAGAAAAAATCTATGAAGAAGATATGTCGTCATCATCATATTCGATAGTCAAGCAGCAAGCAGCGTTTGAAGTCTTTCATCTAATAGTTTGGGAATGCCCTGAAGAATTGAACCAACAAGCCAACAGAGATTGAGGCTCCCTACTATGTGTACCTGGACATTCCAGAGTGAAGGAAATGAAGTAGCGGACAAAAACAGTAGGAGAGCAGTTCCAACATCTTTCGTAGGGCCAGAACCCTTCTGTGCGATCAGCAGCAGAATACTGTATCAGAACAAATTAGGAAAGAGAAAGCTTAACAGAGACTAGACATCTAGACATCTGATACTACTGTATACGAACATAACTCGAGCTTTGGAATTGAGTTCCTTTACTCACTCGTTGGGATTGGTGTTGTTGTACTTGGCTGCCAAGCTCCTCATGAAGTCGCTGTAGTTCCTCATGGGCGCCTCTGAAGCAGGCGGCGTATCAGGGTGAGAAGCCGAACTGGGGGTGACCGATCTCGACCTGCTCGACGTGTCCGGGGTGCCCGGACTGAGCCGCTCGTTCTTCAGGTGGTTGTTGTTGTTGTGTAGGAGGTAGTCAGGGGTGGCTATGGTCGTGGCGATAGGCCCGTTGTTGTTGATCGAGCGGTCCATCCTCTTCCTACGCAGGGCTTTGGTGGACAGGTGGTGTCCGGGGCTGCTGTCGAGAGGGTCGGTCGTGGACGTTGTTTCACCTGAAATTGAAGGGAAAACTTGGTGAGCTTCACATCGTTTTTTTCTTGGTAATGTGGATTATCAGGTTTATAAGTGTTCCTAATTGTTGTCCTCGGACTGCGCAGAATCAGGTGCGCAACAAATTCTATCCTGAACAAGTCAGGAATAATTTTGAAACCAGATGAACGACCCAGTAAACACAAACTCGTTGATAAAACGTTGAATAACGGTTGGAATCGTGGAAATAACGTTAGTGGTTGAAAACTTCAACGTTGAAATTTGGTTGAAGATGACCAAGAAATAAACACGTTATTTAAATGTCTTTTTCTCAACAATTCATTACTTTCTGTTAATCTACAACCACTATTTAACGTTGAAATGAAACGTTGATACCTTCGAGAAACAACACGTCATTTTATTTCAAAAAAACGACACATTCACATCAATGTACGGTAGGATAATTGCTAAAAATAACCTGTTTATAACGTCAGAAAACTAATAGATTCAAACAACAATGTCTTGTTAACTTCAACGTTTCAAATTCACATATTTATAACTTTTGAGTTACTTGATACGTCATTTGATGGTGAACTGATAATGTTGATGAAACGTAGGAAATTACTCATTTAAATACGTCTATTATTATGTGAAAAAGATTATTCATTGATATTTGGATGTTACAAACAATTATCAGACGTTAATTTCAGTATTTCATTTAAATCAGGAAATTCTGATTCAATCACTCGTTATTCATCGGCCTAATCGTAAACTGTAAGAGATGCAGTGTCGGTTAAATCTTGTCAAAACTGTGCAATTTTATGCTTGACGAAATTCCGTTTAGAAATTACGAAAATTCGGAAATATCCGGAATATTCTAAGACCTCCATTATTTTTTAGTCATTTGAACAAATCAATCTTTATTATGGAAATTTCTTCTTCTCTACAAGATGGCGTTTTCAAAATTGATCCGAAGTGAATGTTGAAATATATTTTTTTATCGACTTGTTCAAACGTTAATATTCCACGTTTATTTCACGTGAAAAATTTCGTTAGTAGTTTCCACCGGTTTCAAACGGATATTTACGTTGATATCAGTGGTTGAAAATAACGTGGATGCCAGTGACATTTTCTCGTTGATTCAATAACGTGATCAAAAGATTCCATTGAACGTTATTTCAACCGACCGTTGTGGTAATTTTACTACGTTTTTTTGACGTGAGTGTATTTACTGATGGGGAATACTCGTTTACCCGATTTCTCACCTTCTTGACTCACGTGCATTCAGGGCATATTTAGGTTAGGGCTAATCCTAAAATTCAGGACGCTCTACAAGAAAGTTTAGGAATATTTTCAACGTTAGATGGAAAGAAAAAGAGTCATTGAGGAAAATCCAGAGGAAGTTCGAAAATTTTTGGCTACAACCCCCTCCTCTTTTCGCACAGGGTCCTGGAGATTCAGAACTTGGGAAAACATCAATCAAGCAACAACATCCCAGAGTTTCATTAACTTCCGACATTTTTCCACGTAACCCCACTTTTTCCAACCTGCCGACTGGCCTATAGTCACTAGTGTATGGTAGGAGAAACTTGACTCTGAGCTTTCCTTCTTCCCTTGGAATATTTAATTTTAAATTTGAAATTGGTGATTTGAATTCACTCAAATATTCCCTAGTCGAGGTTGAGGTATTTACCGTTCATAACTCAATACTTTGTATAATTGTATAAGTATAATATGTTGCTAACCAAATAATTACGTGAACAAAATATACAATTAATGACGCTGGATCTAAACCTACTTTTCATCCTCCATAAAGAATGATTAAAAGGATATCTCACTATACCCATTAATAAATCTGGCTGATGTTATCGCATTAATAGTTGTTCTTGATCTCGCTAGCATTCGAATCCATAGAAACTCATCAATAATAGCCGAAACTCCTTCTGAAATCTGAAACGAAGTGTCTCCTTCATTCAAGAACGTCAAGCTTGCCGTGAGCGTCGATGAATTCAGAACAAGTCTCATACGGAAAACAAAAGGGAGTGCAAGTGTGTAAAAAATGATAAAAGCCACGGTAGCCAATCACCATTTATCACGGCCTGCTACAGGTGTCCATTGTTACAAGATGTTGCGTCAGCGGCGTATGTGACTCCTGCCTAGAATTCGATACCTTCCACTGTTACTTCGGATGCTCGTTCGGATGCTTTCAGATATCAACTTCTGGGATTGTTTGACATGTATTGTGCTGCTTAGTTCTTGACATACAACGCGTCATGGGGTTAGAAAACGTAACTATACCATGATTTCCGTTCACTGTCCATGTCCTTCCAAGTTGCCCAACAGAGATCACGCGTTAATAATACTACCTTATTTGTTTAATTTTGATATTGAATACACACTAGTCGAATTTACGCAACAGACCTTTGAAAACGAAACATAGGTTCTGTAGGTCGCCAGAACCGGATATGAGAAATGAGTGGAACACGCGTCAACTACATTTTCGAGTGAGACATCGTTCTACAATGTTTTTTGCGCTGCAGCGTTGCCGTTTCCATCGAAAAGTAGCAACAACTTTGTTATGTCAATGAGAATATCCTGTATTTTATCGCATTTTCAGATTCTTCCTGAAGAGCTGATTTCATCGTTATATCACAGTTGGGGTCGAACGAGAATGATTATAGAGATATAGGGTGTTCAAAATTGAGATTTTCATACATTTTTCTGTTGAAACTATGCATTATCGGTCAGAACGGTATTTTGAGCATTCTTTCAATGAATAGTATTTGATACAATAATTATACAAATGAAAAAAATCGGGTAAAGGTATGCCAATTCATGGGCATATAGAAATCCTATTGTCGGTTATCTGGAGGTTCTCTTCAAACCATTGTGGTTGTGACAAGCTGTTGTTTCTCAAGTAGCTATCCTATTGATTTTGGTACTTCTTTTTCCAGTGATTTTTGACCGTTTCCAGCGTACATAGTTCTTTGTACCGTGTTTACATCCCATGCTAAAGGAAGCAAAATGTTTTTCGTGTTTTCTTGAGATACTTCCTTCTGAATATTAGTAAAATTATCAAATTCGCTTACTCATCCACGATTCACTTCAGATCTGAGAAATATTCCCTTTCTAGTCACTAAAGAAAATCTGCAGATGTTAAAGTACGTTATATCAGAGATTATACAGGTGTGTATAATCTCTGGTTATATCAAAAGGTTATATTCATTTAAGGATGAAATTATCATGATTTTTGATATTATTCCGAATGAAATTCATAACGGTTTTACAGAAAACGAGTTCTACTCAAATGTTTTTTTTTTTTTTAGTATAATTTTTTGAACCTGAAAATCATTTCCGAATTTGATCCTGAATTTTTCTCCTGGAGTTTTTCAACTTGGGACCAAAATTATATTGTAGGAAATATCTCCGATTATCATCAACATGGCTGTAGATATACTGGGTTTTATTCAGGTATGTGGCTGAACTTCTAGGGAAATTATTTGAATAACTCAAAGACGAAAAGTTCATATAAACCTCGATATATAACATAAGTCCGAAAATCGGTTTTTCGTAAATATCGTAAAAATCCTTCATCAAAATTTGTTGACATTTGTCAGTGTTATTAAGATCAATGAGGAGCTGGTTTAGCCATATTCAGATTAACGAAAAATCGTTTTTTTTTTAAGGGAACTTCGACAGGATATCTTGAGAACTTTTCATTACCGGAACTAGGTATATGTTTATATGAACCATTCGTCTTAGAATCAACTGAAAAATCGCTGCTTGAAAAATGACCACATACTTGAATAACGTCCTGTATCGGACGTTGCTTTCGGGAATTTTGTCGAGTGGTTCTTATTGAGGGTTGTTGATTGGACTAATAATCGAACAAAAAAACGAGTATGATTGGTGGGTAAATGGTTTGTCTGTTAGCCATATGATTTTTTCTGAGCATAAAATGGTTTTCTATGTCGAGATGAGGGTTTTAAACATGTTCCATTCCAGTGTTCAACAATAATTATTGAGATACCTACTTCAAGAGTGATGTCTCCATGAAAAATCGATCACGATGCTCAAAATTGAGCCTAATATTTTTCTCACATTTAAGAGCGACGGCAATATATTTTATTATCATTGCCCCTGGCATTTTATAATCATGGGAACTTTGCCTCTGAATTCATCTGATTAGCTTGGTCAAGGAAACAGTAAATATAAAAATGATTAAATAACACCAAAACGATTATCAATTTCCCATGTGAATATATCTATGAATTATTTAATTTATTCGGAATACAGGTTCAGAGTTCAGCGAAAACTAATCATTCATCAAGATTTAATAATCTCCATTAAATTATTTTTGGACTATACCTGCCTTCTATGAGATCTGAACAAATTCTGATGATACAGCGAACGAAAGGTCAAAACTATCATCAAAAATCGAAAGAGCAGTAATTATGTATACAGGTGCATTATCAATCGCTAGAAAGTGATATAAGGATTCATCAAAATTAGCATTCCTCGAGTTTAAACAGCATCTCAATGATAATAATTATACAATGATTATACAGTGCTCGTCTAATTTTTGAACCACCTAGTATATTGCCACAAAATTTGGAAGTCTCAAATAGGAGATGAAAACCTACTTTTTCATGTGAAAATTACAGTTTCAAGTTTTAAAATGGCGGCGGAGCACCATCTTGAATTATTTTTTTGAATGGAACACCTAATTTATTATTCCATTTTCGAAATCCTCTCATAATTCTTATACGTCTCATTCCTTTCTTAACCGATTCATCTAATACATTTCACTCCTACATTCAATAGTTTTTGAAATATTAACGTTTGAAAAGTGACATTTTGATGTTGTCCAAAGCAAACATGATTGAAAGCATCATTTGACTTCATAGTTGGTTTTCAAACGTTAATATTTCGAAAAAATTTTAACCTAGTAGTGAAGTGTATAGTAGATGATGTTGTTGAGAATTATGAGATTTTGGAAATGAAATAATATATTGGTTCTATTTGGAAAATATTGCAACATGGCACTCAGCCGCCATTTCAGATCTTTAAGCTGTCGCTTTTCCATCAAAAAGTTGGTTTTCATCTCTAATTTGAGCTTTCCAGATTTCGTTGCCATATACCAGTGGTTCAAAAATTTGTAGGGGAGGAACGGACTTTAGACGGGCACGGTACACATCTTGTCAATCCACTTTGGGTAACAGTTGAATATTCAATATAAGAATTGGAAGACTGTATCTTATGGAACCAAAGTACTCAAAGCAGCATGAACAACGACGGAAAACTCAAAATATTTTCCACAAATTTTCCATAAAAAATCAAGGATGGTAGATGACAGAATGAAAACAACAACTTACTGATTTTTTGGCTAATGCCACAGATAACATCAATGACCTGAATCCTCCCGAAATCTGTGGTTTATCAATCAGATATTAACAACTGTACCAGTGTCAGACGGTCAATGATATTTAGTTGAGAAATAGTACATCGATAGCTATCAATAGTTAATTTATTCCATTTCTCATATGGAAAATAGTGGTGTTAAGCTAACATTGAATGTAGATTAAATATAAATGAAATGCAATGAACAAACCATCAATCTGTGTAATCAAAATGATCAATACATGAGAATATTATGACCATTTCTGCGAAAAGTGCTTTTTTCAGTGTAGGTCAAAGTGTGATGGTGTGAAATTAACGATCTACATCAAAGCATCTGTGTAGTTTCAACACGACAAATAATTCTTAATGGAAAATCAAGAAATGGGGTGTCTATGAAGATAACTTACCGAGATAAGAACTCACTTTTGTCGATGAAAGATCACGTTAGCTTTCACAAAAATGCCCATCGTATATCACACGTAATTTCCTTCAGACCAATCTAAGATTTCAGTCTCATCAACCGTTTGCTCGAACCTTGCCTTAAATTTCAACATCTCAAACAATAAAATATGATTGATTATGGTATAATTTGTTTTTTATTGCATATTTCTCTAGGCATCGCACAGAACCAGGTGTTAAATGAGTGTCTGTAAAAAATATTATCCGTCAAAACGTTGTTCAAAAACCTGACAACAAATTACCAGCAATAACTCTTCTGGTCTCCTGTATAGGTACCTCAAACTGAAGATATTAATATTCCGGTATATTCGGTATGAACATGAAAGACTCGCCATTATTATTGTGTATATTGTCTGGTGGTACTGTTATCAGTAATATACGTCTAATATTATTATACTTATAGTTCATGTTCATTAATTTCATCTTCATCGGCTGCGGCATCGGATAATTTATGCGCGATGAATTTAAATAACAGAAGTTTTGTTCATTGATATGTATAGGTTCCAATTTGGTGGACATAATGTAAACGATTAAAAAAGCATGCACAAACAAATTTGATTTAGCCAATCTTATCTGTTCAATTGAATATTTTTCTACAACAATGACAAAATATTTGAATTATAGAATTCAGCATTCTTGAACAAAGTTTCATTCACTCATTATTTGATTAATTCAAAATTGATAGTAGAATAGTCTCGAGAATAGTTTATATTTCATCGAGTCAACATAACCACTTAGTTATCCAATCCATCATATGAATGTTGTCTTCTTGAACAACGAATGAGGTGTCACTGTCACTGCTATAAATTGATTTTTTCAGTAGGTACAGGGAACTTTCAAGCGCACTGATATATTTTGAGGCAAACCATCTGATTTGTTCTTGCCACATGTATATTGAAATGAAACAAATATTTTTATTTATAGAGACGAGGAGACTATAAACCTGAAAAATCTAGAGGAATGAAAAGTTCTGACTGATAACGTATTTGCTGGAGATGTTTTGGTGAAAAGACTAGTTTCAAAATTGAAATATGAATTACTTTTTTCTGCTCCGAACGATTTGAACTCGGATCACACTGTTCGCTAGTTCAGTCCTTCATCTATAATCTCGTAATTCTTCAAAACAATAGGTTCTTCACATAAAATCACTACAGGGTGCTACCAGAAATTCTGCAAAATTTCGGAAATTCCAAAAGTATCCCAAATTAAGAAAACCTTTTTATTTTCAACTTAGACAGTAGAGGCATGTAGATTATCTCATTATCTTGAGACAGTTCTCGAATTGTCTCCTTATCTCTTTTATTTACAGAGTGATCCCAAGAAATTAACTTATGGTTTTGCAGTCATAACTTTTTTCCTCGTCAACCGATTTTTGAAATCTCAGGCTCATTTTGAAGCTCAAAGTTCAGATGAAGGGAAATGAAGTACAAGATTGACTCAAGATGAACATTATACAGTGTGTCCCACTTCTAATGGAAGCACCCCTGTATCTTTCGTAATTGTTGATGAGTTAGGATTCTGAAATTTGCAAGATCGGTAGATATACTGAAAATACACACTATAACCAAGTGGATTCGTCTCCAGTGATATACACTGCTCGCCAACAGCCATGGAACCACCCACAAAAATGATAAAAGGGGGCAAAAAATGGTTGAATGAGATATGGGAGTGTTTCCATGAGAAGTGACACAAAATTTAATTTTTTTGAACTGAAAATTTTCCAGGATTACTATGTATAGTCAGTGAATTGGACGTCCTGATTACGAATCCGAAGTGATTTTCAACCCATCTTGGCTTCTAATAACATTTTCCGTGTTGGCGAGCAGTGTTTATCACTGGAGATGACTCCACTTGGTCATAGTGTTTATTTTCTGTATACCTCCCGCCCCTGTAAGTTTCAGAATCCTAACTCAATTTCTTGAGATCACTCTGTAAATGGAAGGGATAAGAAGACAATTTCATGCTTCTGCTGTCAAAGTTGAAAAAAATAGTTTTTGTTCATTTGGGATCTTTTAGCGATTTTATATGAAGAACCTCCGAATTTAAATTGTTCAAAGCAGAAAATAGTTATTTGTTTTACTAGGCAGAAAGGTAGTAGATTGATGATCTACATTCGCTGCCGTGTGAAACATAGATTTTTTTCTTTGAATGATATAAAACCAATTTTGTGTAATTTTTTTATTGATAACTCCATCATTTTGTGTTCACCCAATGTCAGTGTCAATTTTGATTACTCATTTCATTAGAATTTCTTGAAGCGTTGCATAGCAACAATTTTTTTCTGTCTTGGCAGTAAATGTACACCTTTTCTGCCTGTTAAGCTGCTGGAAAAAGCCACTATCCTTGCCGCTTGGAGAAAAACGTTATTTATATTTTAACAGGGACAAAATTTTGGGGTGCGACGAAATCATTTTTGCTTCTCAAAGTTTTGCTAAAAATTCATCCAAAGCCGACAAAGCCAACTACATGACAAAGTCACTTGGTTTAATGAACTCTACTTCATCTGATGTACTTATTTTCATGCATATGTCACGATTGTTCACTAGCTCAAACAAATAACCATCAATTCCGTCTAGTGTGAAATATAACAATAATTGCCATATGGTCGTAAAGTATTATGAAGAAAACGCTCATTTGGAATGTCATAAAGGAGATACCAAATGGTAAAGTTCATGGAAGTTAACCAAACTATGAGACGAATCCATGGTAGATTTAATGGAACTGACATTATTCGAAAATTTAATATTTTATTCGTTATTCTTAATTCAATAAGTCAAGTGTGAAATGAGCAATTCGCGATATTTGCATACATGATAACATGGACAGATATTGGAGATATTTGATAGAGAATGCCTGGTGAAATTGTTGCAAACAAATACCTATAGGGTGTCTGAATGAGTCGAATCGTCCTTCTTGTCCGATTATTTAAACATGGAGTTTATGGAATAAATTACTTATTTTCCAAGAGAGAGCATATTGATATTTATCTGAGTTTCAAGGAGAGAACCTTTTTGAATTAAATTGTGTGATATAATAATATGTCCGAGTGTCCCAGATCTTTTCATCAGGATGTATCTAAATAACACCGAAAAAATTCAAGGTGTATCAATCTTTCCATGAGAAATCGTTTTTTTACTCATTACTCAATTGTCTTTCCATCACTTTCAACAAAACGTTGTGGTTTTGTTAATATAATAATAATAATAATAATAATTCAAAAGGAGAAAAAACAATAACTCTAAGTCGGTCGACCACAAAATTTAATAAAACCCTAATGATTATACAAAC